CTTTAGATATAGAGTTCAGTATCCAAGACACAACCATATTGTCTACTCTCAACCATTTCTCATAAAATGGTGAATCAGATGCAGGTTTAGGGCAATTTTTGCCATTGATAAAACCTAGTTTATCTTTGGCTCTTAAAGCAATTAACATGGATCTACTCCATGACAAGTAGTTGTTTCCAGTAAGTAGCACACTTACCAAGTTAGATTTAGGGTTATCTGAGTTCATGAGTTTGTAAAATTCCATCTCTTCTTCTTCTATCTCTGATTGGGTTATGGGCCATCTTAATAGCCTTTGTATTTGCAGGAGATTGAAAAGCTAGACAAGAAGATGAAGTAGAAGTGATCGATAATCAAAATATCAAGATTATAAGCTCTGATACCACGAACAAGATTTAGAGTGCTTTGTAATCAAGCTTTTCTTAGAGCGTTAATGGAAAAATTGTATCCTTGTTATTGAGAAGAAAAGTGTAGCTGTACAAGAAGATGGATCTGACTTATAAACAGAAAATTTAGTAATCGTCAGACACATCATCTATTGATCTAACAATATAAATAATTTTTTTATGCTAGCTGTGTTTGTTTATTTTCTAAATGAATTGATTGATGTTTGGCCCAGTCCATATGTGAGAAGTGAGGCACAATATGTAATCCAAAGTATAGTTGGATCAAATAGCATTCTAATTTCAAATTGTATCCAATTTAATGAATAAAAATTTTTTTTTTCGTTGAACCTATACTCCCTCTTATGATCAAGTGAACTAAAAATTTATTGCTTAACAACACTCTAATTAATATTGGTTAGGAATTTAAATTCATAATAAGCCAAGTAAAAAAATAATTAATTAGTTATAAGCATACAATATTAGTTTAGGTTTTTTTTTTTATCATTTTTTAAGCATGGAAGTTTGTTTACACTCAGGTTTAATCTTTTTTTAAAATAATTTTTATTCATTATTACATCATTTTATTTTGGAAAATCATTACTTGTTGTCAATATTATATAAATAAATAAAAGTATTTTATTTTTAAGATGAATAAATTATTTTTTATTTTAATATTTAATATAAATATTTATTTATTTATAAGCAGTTGTGGTGGGAAGGAGTCTAGTTTGGAGAAAAGGTTAAACTAGATCCTATAAAAATAATATTTTGTTCATTATAAATTGAGTACATTTTGAAATTAAGATACTATTGTAACTAAAATTAAAATTCAGGATATTCTGAGAAGAAAGTTGTATTTAGGGTGCAATTAAAACTACTTGTAAAATTTGAGGTATTTTTAATGATTTAGCTCATAGAATTATACCATTGGAAGATGAGAGCGAGCGATAGGGATCATTAAAGCTATGGAAAAAAATATCTAATGATAAGCCTTAAGAATACTTAAATTCATTCCGTCATTTTCAGCCAATTTAACAACTATATTTATTCTAGGAATTGAAAATTCGGAGCAAAATCATTAAAAAAATTTGCTTTAACCCATGTAAAATTTCACTTATTTGCCTCATTTTCTGTTGAGCAGAGCAAAAGATAGAGAAGGAGTTTATGCGGAGCATTAAATAAGCCTTCTAATTATATATGAATATGAGAATTGCCAAAAAAAAGAGCTAGCATTTATGTCCAAATATCATTGTAGGCGTTTGAAATAAAAAAATAAAATTATAATATAAACAAGAAAATGAAATAGATCATTATTGTAGGTTCCAATTATAGAATTTTTAATTATGAAAATTTGTGACTCTTCAGGCAGGATATAATTTACCCTTCACCTTCCTTTGCAATTCTATGAATGTGGTCATTTGCAAACTAGCCAACCTTTCTAATAATTCAATGTATTACAAGAATATCCAATTAGTGATAGGAAATAATTTAGTATATTGTTATTACCTCAATTTCATAATACTTATCATATTTAAAATTTCACGTCCTTTAAGAAAATCATTAAATTTGTCTTAGTTACAATAAATTATTGAGTAAATTGACTATATTACTTTTAATTAAATACTTCTCTCTCCGTTCTATTTATATAGAGAAAGTGAAAATTTATTCAGGATTAAGGAGATGTTTTTTTGTGAATTTTTCCCTAATTTACCCTTGAAAATATATTAAATTGCTCCTCAATTTTCAATAAAAATGTGATAAATGATGAGAGACAAGATATGTTGCTTAAAAAAGGCGTTTTATTTGTTTAGACTTTCAATAACAAAAAAAAACGTGGGCTGTTTAATTGCAATTGCGCATTAAAGTTTCAATATCTAATCTGGATTGAAAAAATTGATGTGAAAATTGAAAGAAAATTTGGAGCCAAAATTTTCAACCTCAAATTCTTTATTTTGCTTCTCCAAATTTGCACGTAAAAAAATGAAATTTGAAGCCAAAAATTTTAAAGCTGAATTCATTTAAATAGGGATGAGTAAATTTGCACGTAAAAAAATGAAATTTGAGCAAAAATTTAAAAGCTGAAATTCCATTTAACTAGGGATGACGTTCACAACTCTAAAAAAAATTAATTCACCAGAGCCTATGGATACAATCTTTCCTTTTTGATTGAATACAATCCCTCAAGACTATGCTTGCCCACTTCAAAAGATGTGCCCATACTTAACAATCAATCCTTAGATCGATATCCCTGTCATCCACTGAACACCACCTTTTGTAGAATCTGAAACATAACCATTTAATTACGTTGCAGAAGAGGCTCGAAAAGGCAACAAAAGGAAACATTATTGAAGAATGTGAAAAATATAGAAGAGGCTCGAAAAGGCAACAAAAGGAAAACATTATTGAAGATGTGAAAAATATAGTTTGTATATTGCTATGTTCTGAAATTGAGAAGGGTGATTCAAATGCTCACAACATTTGTAAAGTTATAAACAGTTTATCCATATCCATTAAAACAGTTTATAGAATTTGGCATAATGCAAAAAATGGAACGTTAATTAAGATAATATGAATGGGACAACTATTTTTATTTCACTATCATTTGGAGGGAAATTTCACTCGGTTGAGGTTTTATTAGAGTTGTGAGTAAATTATATGTACAGTTAAATGTTAAGCGTAAGTTTCTTAGTGAAATTTAATCTGTGCACATAATGTGTTTGAATCTCACATTTTCATAATGCATGGTTTAGTCACTTTTTGAACATTAAATGCCATCCACAATAATATCTGCCACTTTCTTGAAATACTCTCAAAGCCAATATTTAATCTATAAACAAAAGTAAGGGCATTGGACTTTTGGCTTTCGCATTAATCCCAAAGTTACCATATTAGAAAACTTTCTCTATATAAATAGAACACCCAAAAAATAAATTTTCTCTATATAAATATAACGGAGGGAGTGATTTCTAAGAAAACCATTAAATGCAAGTAGTAATTATTGGTCATATACAAAGGGTAAACATGGAAAAAAGAGATTTATTGCTCATTGAAATCACAAATGTGACAAGTATTATGGAATGGAGGTAGTAGAATACAAAATTACATGATTTATAATCTCATTACCATTTCTTTTCCTTTTTAAGTATGTTGCTAGAATACAAAATTAAATAATTCATAAATATTTTATTTCCTTCTTCATTTAAATTACAGGATGTTGTCTTAAATGCTCTAAGATTTTTCTTTTTTTAGCATTGGGGGAGAGAAATTCAAATCTAAATCTATTATCATATCGTACTTGCACTTAGCACTAGACTATTCATTGGCTTGCACTCTAAGATTTTTTAAAAGATTAATTTACTACTTTCCTTATATGTACCTTGTTTCCTTATTGTTTATGTTATTGTGTAGTCACGTGTGAATCGTCACTAATTGCAAGAAAAACCCAAAAATAAAAACATGTACATTAGTATTGTTACTAACATTTTGACCAAAGGTGAGAAACATGGGCAAGTCTCATTGGATTAGTAGGTTCAGTGCTTATCCTCCTCATATTCTCACCAATTCCATAAGTTTGAATGTTAATTAGCTTTACAAGTTTCATGCAAAAATTGTTCTATTATTTCTCAAAATAGAGTAAACTCTACTCCTCTCTCTTTAAATAAAAGCCACTATCTATCTCTTTTTTTTTTTTTTTTTTTTTTTTTTTAGGGAGTGTTTTTATTGTGATGCGTCAAAATTAAGAGTAAGACCTACTATGCTCGCCCTCTCGCTCTTTAAATAATTTAGCACCTAGAGTCGAGACACTAGTCTAAGTCATCTTTATATTTTTGCTTTTGTGTAGAAGATATGTTTTTTTTGTTTCTTTAAGTGGTTTTTTTGTTTTGAATCGGGAAGTATATTAGACTGTTAGTTATTTAACTCAAGTAGTAGTATATTATAATTTGAAGGCTAAACAAGCTCGCGTATCGGTGTAATTGTGACTTATCCTTATTAATGGGAACCACTGGGCTTAAAGAGAAAAGCCAGAAAAAATCTTATAGGAGGTTCGACGACCTAAGGCTACAGTAGGACGAAAAATGAGGCCACCACTCTTGGAAGAGTTTGAGATCTATGTGCGGCACCTACGAATTCGCCCATTGAGATACGAGAAATATTTAGTGGCAGGGTATTAATTCGCCGATCCACCATTGGTATACTAATGGCACTTGACAAGTCATAAAGCAAGAGAGACACCAAGAATCCTCTAGAAAGGATTTCGTGCTATAGTGCATTTGTGATGCACCCTACACATGAAGAAGAAAATTGAGAGTAGTTGTGGAATAGAACATCGCCAGTGAAAGGGGAAAGTGTACTGATTTGAGCCCAAATATTAAAGAAAGTCGATATGTGACGGAGAGCCAATAGCTTTCTGTCGAACGCCGCAGGCTGAAGTCTTGCCAAGATGCCCATCAGAAACGGCGCACCACACCCAAAGACAGAAGCTCAAGTAAGAACGGGGCCTTAATGAAAGTTGTCGTTTAATTGCTGACATACAAATTGGCCAGCGCAGAAGGCCTGGTGACCATCTGCAGAATTGGTCAGAAAAAGAGCAAGCGATGCGCGACGAAATACTGTGCCTTTTTTTTTTTTTTTTTTTTTTTTGAAGGGAAATACTGTTGTATTAACCAAGAGAATAATAATGAGCTAAACAATCGCGAATGACTTCCTATAACCTAAAAAGAGAAAAATCTATAGGAGGTTCGAGCTAGACAATGAGCCCCCTTATTATCTTGCCTACGAATCCAAGAAACAGAAATATTAGGCATACGCTCCAAAATGCACTTACAATCATAAACAACAGCACCAAAATCAGAAAGGTTCTCCATTTGTGATCACTACACATGAAGAAAAAATTGAGAGTATGTGAATAAACATCCAGGAAGGGGAAATGATGATTTAGCCCATATTAAAGCTTGACGGAGAGCCATAGCTTCTGTCAACGCCACTGACCCAATGCCATAAAACCACCCAAAGACAGAGCTAGAGAACGGGCCTTTAAGTGTTTCACAAATTGCACCAAAGCCTGACATCTGCAGATTCAGAAAAAGAGCAGCATCCACAAATACTTGCCATTCAGTTGTTCCTTGGTAACCAAAGCACAGCTCCATATGATTAGAATCGTGGCCAGGCAAATGATGAGAGAACATGCCAGCACTACACCAGTCTTGCAAAAACTCTAATGCTGCAAATACAAGGGAACAAGCAGGAAGTTGCTGCTGCTTCTAGAGAAAATTATTCCTATCAGCCTAAATCTTCCATGAAATAACAACAACCTTTGCAGCCCTATTACAGGACTGAGAATCAAGAGCCTACACAAAAAAATCTTGATAGGAAAGATCATTGTTAGTAGGCACATGGCCACTCAGCATCCAAACCTCCTCAGCCTTGTGGCACTGGAGTAGACAATGGTTAACATCTTCATTCTTATGATAGAAACAACAAGATTTGTTGATGGGCACTCTACACAAAAAAAGCTTGACCTTAGTGGGAAGAACGCCCTTACAGACATCCAAAGGAAGTCCTTCACTTTCGGGGGAACTTGTAAATGCCATAGCTTGATCCAAATAGGATCACTGCTCATAACCCGACCTCTCCCCAATATTTTCAAAGCAAGATAATAATAGGATTTAACTCGATAAACCCCTTTAGCATCAAAATGCCATATCAACCCGATTAAACAAAGACAGAGGAAGAGCTAAAATTGCGCTAACATCCCTAACGCAAAAAGCTTAAGAATCTTGCTAACATCCCAATTATCCCTAAAAGGGTTCATAAGATCATAAGTACACATATGAGTGTTAATAAAAATAAATTCATCCTCAACAAAAAAAAAAAAAAAGAATTAGTTTTGGGTACCCAAGGATCACTTCTCACGAAAATATATTCACGATTCCCCACTCTCCAATGAACTCCTTATTTTAAAATCTCCCGGGCAAACAACAAACTCTTCCAAGTATAGCTAGAGTTGATAACTTCACCAACTTTTAAAAAATCCTCATTAGGAAATTATTTAGCTTTGAGAATCCTGTATAGAAGAGTGTGTATATTGTGAATAAGACGCCACCCCTGCTTGCCAAGCGTAGCGATATTAAAACAAAGAAGATCTCAAAAACCCATCCCTCCATATTTATTACTTTGGCACATACGCCCCCATGAGAGCCAATGAATTCCCCTTGCCCTCTAGTTCTTATCACCCTACCAAAAAGAGTTCATAATCTTTTGTAAACAATCACAGAGGGAATTTGGAATTTAGAAGACACTTATACAGTAGGATGGAAGAGCCTGGGCAACAGATTTCAACATTATCTCCTTTTCGGCTTGAGAGAGAAGTTTATTATGCCAGTCGTTAATTTTTTTCCAAAGCTTATCCCGAAGGAAAAAGAAAAAAAAATCTATTTTTTTGTTTCTCCCTATCAGCGAAGGTAAACCTAGATACTTTCCCCCTCCCAACAGACTATGAACTCCCAATACATCTGAAATATTATTTCTCCAGCACGTTAGGACTAAAGAAGATGCTAGATTTTTGAAAATTAATAGCTTGTCCAGAAGCTGACTCATATGTTTCTAGTATATCTTTAACCCTCTAACTCTCAAGAACAGAAGCCCGAAAGAAAAGAATTGAATCATTCACAAAAGGTAAGTGCGAAACTCTAGGGCAATGAGCACCAACCCTATGCCCGTGAACCTGCCCTCTCCTCTATGCGTCCGAAATCAATGCAGACATACCTCTACACACATAATAAAAAGATAAAGGGAAAGAGGACAACCTTGGTGGAGACCTCTGCCTAGGGAGATAGGACCAAAAACTTCACCATTAATTAGAATAGAATAATTCACACTAGTAACACACATCATCATCCAATTAGTCCATTTTTCGAAGAAACCAAGACTCAACAGCATTTGTTTTAGAAATTCCCAATCTACCCAGTTATAGGCTTTGCTAATATCAATTTTCTTGGCAATAGACCCAGAGGTACCCCAATATAAGCATTTCATATGATGAATCGTCTCAAAAGCTACTAAAATATTGTTCGTTATGAGACTTCCAGGAATGAACGTCGACTGGCTAGGTAAAATAGTATTTGGTAAAATCCTTTTAAGTTTATTGGCCAATACCTTAGCAACAATTTTGTAAAGCACATTGCACAAAGATATAGGGCAATAGTCCTTAAGGCTCTTCGGATTATGATTTTTGGGAATCAAAACAATGAGAGTTTCAGAAAGAGATGAAGGAAACATACCTTATTTAACCAAGAAATACAACCAGCTACAACATCGTTCCCATTAATACTCCAGAATTTTTGAAAAAATGTCAGTTTCAACCCGTCTGGACCTGGGGATTTATCCAGATGCATTTGAAATACAGTCGCGCGAAACTCCTCAACGGTTAAAATAAAAAATATAAATGATGTAGATAATATATTTAAAATTTTTAATCATTATTAAAAAGTTACGTTTTTTGTATATAGATAGATAGTATTATCATTAAATATTAATTGTAGCCAAATCACAGTAAAAAAATAAAGAAAAACTTTAAAATTTTCTAATAAAAGAAAAATAGATTGTTGAACAAAGAAAGAGTCTCAAACTTTCTCTTTATCTCAGCTTTCATATATATAGATTTGATGATTTTGCTTTTTCTTTTTAAAGAATATCTTATTCTAATGTTTAACACAATAAATCGTATTCTGCGATTTTTTTTTATAAATTGAAATAATATCAAAAATTAAGAAATCCTCAAATAGAAATTTCAGCAATACTAACCATATCGAACTTATTAGTTTCCGTTGTTTCTCCAGAAGCTGCATGCCCTAGCCTCATACCTTTTCTTCAGGTTTAACTTTTAGGAGAAATTAATTATTTTAAATATACATAATCTAGTGAGATTTATCTAGGAGAACAACAATTTCAAGGGTCTCTTCATTGTTAATTTTTCTATCATTACGATCATAGTTGATATTTAGGCTAACATTCATATTTAGTATCGATTGATTGAATTGTCATCTCAATTAAACACCTTATAATTAATTTACTCTAATATCTCAAAAATCTTCAAAATAAATTACTAAAAATATTATTAATTTAATATAACTAACAAGTCATAAGCAAAATGTAATTTTCAATATATAGTTGAATAAGATAACATATGGCATGGACAATAAGTTAGTTACAAAAAAATGTTCGTGACTTTAGTAAATTCACAAGTTTTACAAGCTTTCTACATTACTCATGCAAATGTTGATATTAGGAAGACCCAACCGTAGTTTACAAGATTAGCAAATGTCGTTAGATCAATAGTATTAATTAGGTGCCCCACACCCAAATTCAAAAAACAAATATTTTATTTTTAATATATGTATAGTAGGCCACTATTTGGGCTAAACGAATAAACTAAAACTCCATTAAAGATCAACAAATGCAAGTGTAAGTTGACGGATTGTATATAAATACGATTCATGTGCAATATTTATATGTTGTTTAAATAATTATTATCATTCAACTGTTAGTCAAAATTCGGTATGCATGGTTGGCCAACAACCAAAGAACTTTGTCAGTCAACTTCGGTATGCATGGTTGGCCAACAACCAAATAGTAGTAGGCGCACTATTTGGGCTAACGAATGAAACTAAAAAACTTCCTATTAGAAGATGCAAGCAAATGGCAACGTGTAAGTTGACGGATTGGTATATAAATACGATTCATGTGGGCAAGTATTTATATGGTTGTTGTTAAATAATTATCTGATGGCATTCAATCTGTGTAGTCAAAATTAGGTATGCGATGGTTTGGCAAACCAAAGAACTGTTGTCAGTGCAAATGTCGGTATGCATGGTTGGGCCAGACAGAACGCAAAAGTAAAGTGGGAAGGTTGATGGTTGCGCCAACCACCAAATTCGGTGCATGCTATAAAAAGAGGCACGTTTCCCATAAGTGTTTTATATTAACTCAATTGTCCAGAGAGGAAAGTCCATTAGCTAGAGTTCAAGAGAGAAAATAAGCTTTGGTGAGAGAAGAATTGAGAGTGAAATTTTCGTTGGGTGGAATTGTATGGAAGTTTGTTGGGTTATAAGGTGTCTGTAAAACACTTTGTGTTATAGAAGATTTGTTTCTCCTGTTAGTAAAAGATCTTGCAGGTGCAGGCTCCGGAGACGGTAGGCAAATTGGCCCGAGACTCCGTTATCAAATTTGTGTGGTGGTATTGATTTGCCGCTTGTTATTGTGGCATTTCTCACTAATCTAGTTTTATAGGAAATTTTGCGTAGTTTCCCAACAACTGGTATCAGAGCCGAAGGTTTTCGGCAGGTCCAGCCCCGCGGTCAGATAGGCGGTACCCCAGGGGGATTCGTGGATGGTATTTCAAAAATAAATAGTAAAGATCCCTAGCACGAAGACGAGGAAAGTTACGCGAGTCCTAAGTCAGGTGTTGGTCCGCTCGGAAAGGCGTTGCCAGAAATCGAATTAGTGGTGAGATTAAGTAAAAACAGTAAGAAGTTGGTGGTGAAACAAGTAGCTCGTTGGCGTGTACTGGTTGCCTGAATCGTGACTAATTCAGCCTAGCTTTCACGGTATAGTACTGTTTACGTGTATGACTGATTAGCTATTGTTACATTAGTGACTATGTTCACGGGGTGGTACGATTACCGTATTCACGTATACGGTTTCTATTCACGTAATCTAACAATCGAGGCCCGCGAGTTAGAACTCGAGTGGGAGTAGAATAGGCTGCAGATGGAAGGAAAGTTGGAAATTGAAAAATTGCGATGTGCAGATTTTGGGCTGTTTGGAAAATGCAAAGATAGAGGATTATGCTGTATCAGAAAGGGGTCTTTTCCAAACCTCTTCTCCGAAATAGAAGCCAGAGAGGGCAATGGAAAGGAAGAAGCATTGGAATGCTTCTAACCAGACAAGCAGCTGGCAGGGGTTTATTCGTCTTAACCCTGCTCTCGCTCCGCCGCAATGTGTGTGCTTCAAGCATAGCAAAAGAAAAGAACCACGGTGGGTCTTATGGCGGCTCTTTCGGCAATATGGTACGAAAAGCCATCGGCCGCAAATAAAGTTCACTTGAGAATGAGGCGGTTATTCAAGTCTGACGAATGAAAGGAAAACGGCATCGGTGGCCCAACAATCTCAATGAAACTCAGATACAGTGACGAACGCCAATTGAGTTTCGTTGAAATTGAATTGATGAAGAGGTGACGGAAGCAGTTGATACTTTTGTCCTTCGCCTACGCTAGAAAGTTGGAAGTGTTGACCTGTCGACAGCTGTGGAAGTAGCCTCGTGCCGCAAGCAAGAAGTTAAAAAATGTTGATGAAATGGTGTCGTGACCTAGTTCTCATTGAAGAGATCCGACGGAGAGAAGTCCAAGGTGAACCTTCGAAAGCTTCTTCAGTCTTGCAAGTACAGAAGTCAAGAGGAAGAATTCAACCAGAGGGAAATTTGATCGCGGGTAGATCAAACTACGCGAGGCAGAATCAAAAGGACAGGGAGTGCCAGAAATCCAGGAAATCCCCACCCAGCGGCTAATTTCTATATAACACGAAGTCCGATCGAATGTTGGAATTGTGGAAAAAACTGGGCACTAATAGAAATTTCAGTGCAAGAATGCCATCTTAAGGGAAAGCAGGAAGGGGGAAGGTTGAGAGAGCAAGATGTTTGCCGCTCCACCCTCAGGAGAAGATGGATGCACTTATGATGCTCTTTTGGAGAGCAGAGCCATGGGAGTCTTGGGTTTTAGACCTCCGGGGGCGTCAGTTTCCATGCAACTTCAGCAAAAAGAACTCGCTTAAGAAGGTATCCCCCCGGAGAACTTTGGAAAAAGTATGAGCCGTTTGTAATGACCAATCCATGTGAGATATGTCTGGTAAAGGAGTTTGTGAAGATTGTAGGTTGAACGGGTCTACCATTGGGAGTTGAGAGGATGTCAGACATATTCCTGACACTGAGAGAAAAAGCGTCTAAATCTCAGGTAGGCAGTTGGCTAGCGAAGGCTGACACAACAACCCTTCCACGGTGATAAGTGGGAAGATTACAAAGGGTGCAATGATGGTGTGTCCGTGGAAGGTAAAGTAAGGTGGTAACCGTCTTTAACAGTCACAGGAGGAGCCAAGCTATTCCATTGGCTGTTGCACACAGTGGAAACTCCCAATTTTATGTGAAACTCCCAATTTATGGCATCAGAGGCTTGGCCATATGAGTATGAAAGGAATGAAGATTCTACACTCACAGGGAAAACTACCAGGTCTTCAGTCAAATGAAATTGACATGTGTGAAGACTGCATATTTGGAAAGCAGAAAAGAGTCAGCTTTCAGATAAATAGAAGAACCCCAAAGAAGGAGAAACTTGAGCTTGTACACTCTGATGTGTGGGGACCAACTACTGTCTCATCCATTGGTGGGAAACACTACTTTGTGACTTTTATTGATGATCACTCTCAGAAAGTTTGGGTTTACTTTCTAAAATATACTAAAAATAATAGCAGTGCAGAAGTATTTTGATGCTTTTCAAAATTGTGGAAAGCTATGGTTGAAAATGAGAAGGAACTGAAAATCAAAAGCTGCAAGCAGAGGCCGACAATGGTGGTTGGAAATATGAGAAGACACCGAGGTTTCCAAAGAAGTTCCGTGGCTATGAGCATGGAAGTCAAGGATGGGAGAGAACGCGGTGGCCAGGCCCACGGCCTTCAACAGCGAATGGTGTAGCTGGCGCAATGAAATCGAAGCGTTGAGACAGAAGATGCTAGGAGAAAGCTTAACGTGTAATACAATCAAGGCTTACCAAAGAGCAGTTGCTGGGCAGAAGCAGTCGACACAGGGGCCAGCTTGACTTGATCGAACCGAGGTCCATCGATACGCATTGGAGCAAAGCAAAAATCCAAGAAGGAGGTTGGAGTGGAAAAGAAGTAAACTCTGCACGACTTAAGGAGTTTTCGGTTGTGTAGCATGATGTGCGATATAAGTGTTCGATGGCAAGAAGTAAGCGTTGGATCCCAAAATCTAAAGAAATGCATTTTCATGCGGCTATGGCGGGAGATGAGGTTTGGGATAACGCGGGCCTTTGGGATGAAGCAAATGAAGAAAGTGATCCGCAGCAGGAGATGTTTGGTCCTTTTAATGAAGAGATGATGTACGAGAGAACAGGACATGACACAAGTTGCCAGCGACTCAGGAGGCAAAAGAGTGGGCCAAGTGTTTTTTGTAGAAGTGGATGATATTCCAGAAAGTTCTGCCAAATGGACGTTAGTTAAAGATCCTCAATCAGAGGAAATCGGATCGACACACCGACGAACTTGCTGCCCTGCCGACACACCACAAACTTCTCCTCCAAAAGCTTTAAGAAGGTCTGAACGTCCTCCAAAGCCTAACAGAAAATATATGAATTATTTGTTATTAACAGATGGACGAGAACCTAAATGCTTTGAGGAAGCATGTCAAACGGCAGATGCCAGCAAGTGAGAGCTTGCCATGAAAGACGAAATGAAGTCTTTAATCTCCAATCAAACATGGGAACTAGCTGAGCTACCCATAAGAAAGAAGGCACTTCACAACAAATGGGTGTATCGAGTGAAAGAGGAACATGATGGTTCCAAGAGATACAAAGCTCGACTGGTAGTCAAAGGATTCTAGCAAAAGGAAGGAATTGACTACACCAAAATATTTGCACCAGTTGTAAAACTCAATACTATCAGGTCTGTGTTGAGTATTGTTGCCAGTGAAGGGCTCTACCTTGAGCAGTTGGTACCGAGTGAAGGGCTCGCTGACGCGTTGAGCAGTTGACGTAAAGAACGCGGGCGTTTGCTTCACGGAGACTGTGATAAGGAGAATATTGACATGGTACCAGCCAAGAAGGGATTCTCAGGAAGAAAAGGGAAAAGAGAATATGGTGTGGCAAAGCTTGAGAAAGAAAGGTTTTGGTAGATGGGACTGAAAACGAGAGATCCGAGAGACAGTGGTACGAGAAAGTTCCGACAGTTTTTCATGCACAATGGAAGGCTTCCAGAAGTGGCATAA